GGTCTCGAATCTAATCTACGTGGACCAACCTGTCGGGACTGGTTTCAGTTACACATCGGACCAAAGCGATCTCCGACACGACGAGGAAGGTGTCGGTAATGACCTTTACGACTTCTTACAGGTTCAGTTTCATTTACACTCTTTCTTTCTTTGTTGAAGAAGATATGTTCTTGAAGAATCTTAATCTGAATCTTCACATGACGTTTATCATTTCAGGCGTTTTTCAAAGAGCATCCGCAATTTGTGAAGAATGACTTTTACATTACCGGTGAATCCTACGCCGGACATTACATTCCGGCTTTGGCTTCAAGGGTTCACCAAGGAAACAAGAACAAAGAAGGAACTCACATTAACCTCAAGGTAAAACTCCACATTGATCGATCTTCTTCTTTCGGAGTTTTTGGTTATATATACCACATTGGCTTAAACCAACCTGGTTTGCGTCAGGGTTTTGCAATTGGTAATGGTTTAACTAACCCGGAGATCCAATATGGTGCGTATGCGGATTACGCGCTAGACATGAAGTTGATCTCAGAGTCTGATCACGATAACCTCAACCGTTATTACGATACGTGCCAACAATCCATCAAAGAATGCAGTAAAAAATCATTCAACCTCTTTTTTCAAAAACGTTACAGAAACCATTAAAAGTTTTGATAATTACGAAATTTTCGACCCGGTTTTTCAGGTGCCGATGGTGGTGAAGCTTGCGCTTCTTCTTATGTTGTCTGCAACAATATTTTCAATAAGATCATGGATATTGCAGGAAACGTAAACGTAAGCATCAAAAACCCGAATTGAATCCTTTTCTTACTTGTTTGTTGTTCAAATAGCTTACAAGATTTTTCCTCTGTTTTGGTCTCTCTGTTTTTGAAGTATTACGACGTGAGGAAACAATGCCAAGGAAGCTTGTGCTATGACTTCTCGAACATGGAGAAGTTCTTGAACCAGAAATCCGTCCGTAGGGCATTAGGTGTGGGAGATATTCAGTTTGTGTCTTGCAGTACTGCCGTCTACGATGCAATGCAGATGGACTGGATGCGGAATCTTGAGGTCGGGATTCCAGCTCTTCTTGAAGATGGAATTAAGCTCCTTGTTTACGCTGGAGAATACGATCTCATCTGCAATTGGCTCGGTATGTTTTCATTGTTATGACTTTGTGTTTACATTTCGTTTCTGATTCTGGTCACAACGAATTTATAGGAAATTCAAAGTGGGTTCACGAGATGGAATGGTCAGGCCGAAAAGAGTTTGTATCAGCATCGACTGTTCCATTCCATGTAGACAGTAAAGAAGCTGGTCTAATGAAAAACCACGGTTCACTCACTTTCCTCAAGGTAAACCAATCAAAACCGAACCTACATTTCTATCGATATACATACCTATTTTTAACTGAAATTGGGAAAACGTTTATAGGTTCACGATGCTGGACACATGGTTCCAATGGATCAGCCAAAGGCAGCATTGCAAATGCTTCAGAACTGGATGCAAGGAAAGCTCAATACACCCACCGGCCAGACCGCTCGTCAATGATTTTTCTTTTTATAACGGCAGTGATTCTAAATACCGAACCTGTTGTATTATTATGTATTTTAGGAGATCAAATATTTTACTTTCAGAAAACTACATAACACATACTTGTGAATTATTTCTATATATATATACACAGGAAACTTCATTGTTAACTTGGTTATTCCAACTATTAGCTAATGAATCACTTAATACATTCTAATATGGAGCAAACTAAAGACAATATGTAATATATAACCAAGTTACTGTGTATGTAAGATTCGAACCCTATCTAAAACATGATAAATACTTCTTTTATTGAACACTCTTTATCACCTTTAAGTGTCACAAAGATTTCACTATTCCAAGTTATACAGATCTAAATCTAAGATTCCACAACAGCTAGGGAAGAGGACACAGAAAGTAAAGCTTGCAAATTCAGCGATGACCCTCATAAGAACGATCGCGATAATCACTGTCATCATCATCATCTAGAATGAGTGTAACACCATTGTTTCTTAGGGAGTTAATAACAGCCCATACCTTGGTTCGGCTCTTGAACCCTTTCTTTTCAATTTCTTTCTTGACATCAGCGTGGATGCCTCTTCCTTGCCCATCTTGAAGCCCTTCTACTTTCAGCCTCATTGCTAAAACTTCTCCAACAATAGCCGCAGCCTTGGCATTGCAAGTACGGCCACACTCTAGTGAGTTCTTGATTGCGTGTTCTACGGATGAAGCTGTTGTCACTATTCTCCCGTTGTTTCTGTCCACTACGTTTGCTGTTATATACTTGATCGACATGAACAGCCTTAGGACGTACCTTTTGAGAACTGTCATTGATTCTACGAAACCTGTTTGATCTGCAAATGCACAAGAAACCCCAACATTGTAAGCACTAAAAAGAAACATGAGAACTGGATTGCACTAAAAAGGTCACAGAACAAGTGGTAAAAAAGAAACTCAGAATCAATTTCTAGATATTTTACCATTATAGTCATATCATTCTCTTCAAGCATAGGGAGTTATATTAAGAAGGAATCAACTGCAATATCATTTTAAGATTCAAAAGGTTCCTTCTTCAACAGATGCACTTAGGTTGCAATCTAGTTTTGATCATGGCAAAACTGATGCAAGAAAAAGAAAACATTTGGGTGTTTTGTGCAGCAAATCGGAACTAATTAAATCAGGGAAAGGTATTAAATGGAAAATGTGAAATAACAAATTGCATCTGCGCTCGTTTAAACATCAACGATTGTCAGATGCCCAAATACAGTGTCCGAGAAAGATAAACGAACCCAATCAGAGAACGAGAAACACCCAAATACGAGGAATCTCATGAAGATTGACAAGAAGCATAACTACGGAGGTATAACAAAAAAAAACTAGGCAGAAACTCTGTCAGGCAAATGAACGAACAACTTGTGTGCATACAAAACAACTCTGAAAATACAAAGACACATTATTGAAGTGCAAGTTTTTCTAACCTTGGAAGCTTGTCGAAGAATATCCAGTTGTCTCAGACAATCATGGTATATTGAATTGAGAAGCCAAGAAAAAAACCTGGAGAAGGAGGAAGATCAAAACCACAAAACCCAAACTAAAAAGGCCATTAAATATTTAAGCCTAAACAAAAAACGAACCTTATTTAAATCTCTATCCAAACCCGGTTCAGTGTTGAAGCCCTTTTATTTTAGTCAACAAAATAATAATATACATTCAATGGCCTCATATTTATTTATTTATTTACTAGTCTTTTGGCACCGAAAAAATCATATTATTTTATTTATTAATATTTTTATAAAAGTACATTTTAATATAATTATAAATTTACTATGTAGGAATAAATTATGGTGAGAGGATTAATAATAACTCATATTCAAAACACTGTTAAATAGATTTATCAACTTGATTCTATAGATACTCATATCAGCTCGTTGGAGATATAGAATTTATAAAACTAATAATATTTAGAATCGAAATATTATTAGTTTTATATCTAAATCGAACTTCATGAAAAATAGAATTCTAAAAATAGTATCTAAATCGGAGATATAGAATTTATAGAACTAATAATATTTAAACTTCTATTTTTCATGAACCTCTAATATTCTACTTTATAATTTGTTTTAGTTATATTTTGTTACTGTTTTAAAATCTAAATGCTGAAGTATAATTTTTTTGTAAATGCTAAAATTATTCCAAATGTTATAGTTATTGAAATGTTTTGCAAGAGCTTGATATTTAGAGGGT